ATTCAGGGTGATATATATATATTTTTTTTTTTGCGGACTGTACAGCTTAAAATAAAAAACGAGTCATTCTTAATATTTGTTTACGTTAGATTTTCATGCACTGACTCTTACGAACTTAATGGTCAACAAGATAAGCTTTAAATATNGATAAGCTTTAAATATGTTAACTAATTAGGGACGATGATACTTTAAGTTTAGAAATCAGACATAAGAACGTACTTTCTCTTAATCATTATTTTTCTTCTTCTTTCTTTTGCCTAATTCTACATGCCGATTTCGCCCAGCACAGTTATAAATTTTCGGGAAAAAAATACACGAGAATCTACCGAAAATCATTTATCAGGTATTTCAAATAAAACTACAGGGAATTAAAAAAGTTTATTTAAAAATAATGAAAAACATACAAAGGAGACATTTTACAGAAATAATCTAAGCAAAACGTTGTAATATACTTCAATTAAGCTCTTTTCGGCTTCAAAACTTTAGAATAAAATTCGAACCATTAAAACATAATCGACAATGTACAATTCGATACAGCTTTGGGGGGAACCGAACCTCAACTAAAACCGTGGTAGGCGAATACTACTGATGAAATGTGTTGAATAATCCCCTTAAAAAAGTGAACTGGGGAAAACTCTCTCTAACGAGAAACTCGATTACTGAACTTTTGAACAAGAACGTACGTAATTTGGATTAGATTCTTGTTTATTGTGTCTTCAACAACAAGTTTAAGATCATCAAAATATAAAAAATACTATTTGGATCGATTTAATGTAGGCCATAAGGATCGCTTTAAATCAATGGGTCCCAAACTTTTTTGACCCATGGACCCCTTTTTATAGTCAAAACTTGTCCACGGATCCTCAAGTGAAAAACCGCATATATGTACGGTAGAAAAATTACAAATTAAAAAAAAAAACATTTTGTTGAAGAACTATTTATTGAAATTATACCTTTTGTTTAAAATAAAATTTAAAAAAATTTATTACTTGGATGAACGTGATGAGATTTTAAGAGTGTAGTTATGTCTGGCTCAATGTTTGTGAGCACTAATTTCTAATCATTTATTTATTAATAGCCGCTTAAGGCGACCAGCTGTCCGCCACGCTAAAGGTTTTCAGAAATAAAGTTTTTTAAAACATAGCAGGAAATCTGAAGATTAGTGAACAATTAAAGTGTTCCTGTCCTGTAATTTTGTCTTCATATCCAGATGAACAGCGACAAATATATTAAAGCGAAGCGTTCTATTTACGTATCGAATATGTTGCCACATTTTTAATACAAAAGTTAAACTTTTCTCCACTTTGATAAATGTAAACTAATGCGAACCTTACAATTAAATTATTAATTCCTTCGTATATTATTGGTTCAAGTTGTCGAAATTTAATATTTCAATTGTAAGGTTCACATTAGCATACATTTATAAGAGATATGCATTTTTTAATAGTTTTTTTAATGTGGCTCTTTGAAGACGAAAAAGCATAGATTTTCTTACAAAATGACTGATAACTAAAAAACTAATCCAAATTTTTGAAAAAGAAAAAAAATACTTCTTCATTATGTCAAAACACAATTATGTGCCGAGTTTCGTGCCTGGGCGAGGCTTCTGGGGCGATATATTGTGATTACAGACGGACATACACACAGCTGCGTTTACTATTATTATGTATAGATTATTATTATTATTTTTTTGTGATGATGTGGTTCATTACGGCACTGAAACTGAGAGAACAATATCCTCTTCCCAAGTTTTGTTTATACAGAAAAAGTTTTGCAACAAACGCAGTTTTACGATTTTAGTTTTGATTAAATTTAATTGGTCATCTTGTAATTTCAAATTAGTTTCGTTAAGTTCGGTAAAAAAAACTGAAAATACATTCGCTGCAGCTTGTTTTAAGTTAGCCAGAAGACCTCGGTATCTTCCTACCATTGCCGGAAAACCGTCAGTAGCTACAGAAATGATATTAGCCAAGGGTTAGCTTTTATTTCAGTCAATAGCGTTTCACCTTTCGCATCGCTTTTCAAACATTTAGCAAATAACAATTCTTGGTAAAATTTTTATTCTTTTACAAATCTTACATAAGCTAAAAGTGAAAGCTTTGTTTCCTGGATAAGTGGGCTCGTCCAGCTGTATAGAAAATTCAGATATTTTATGTACTCGCATGAAGAATTTTCGACGCACAGAGATATTTTGTCAATCCTTCTTTGTACATTATTATTACTCCGTGGAATTCTTTTTGCAATGTCAAAAGCTGGTTTGTGTAACCCGGTGAGTATTATCTCACTTGCAGCTAGTAAAATAAGTTCGTCAATAGTGTGAGGCTTTCCGAACTTTGGAATCATGTAATATATAGAAACATGCGAAACTATGAGAAACATGCAATCCATCGTCACCTCGCTTAAATGTTGTCCCTTTGAGTTGTTGCAGTGTTTTCAGATATTTTTCCTTGACTGTTTAAAAAATAGTTAAATCCTTATCTTTTTTGACAATATGGATTTTTATAAACTGTTCGTTAAGCTTGGAATGTTTCATTGAATCGCTTGTTATAGTTTTATTACATAGAAGACACATATTTAAAGTACTATTTCCTGAAGAAATAAAGACATACTTCAAATTTTCGACACTGTATTTTCGGAGTTTTTTCTTCGACGGTTATCTCTCAAAAAGAGAGCAAAAGATATAAGAAAATTTGTAAATAAACTGTTTAATTTGTAACAAACCACTGTTAATTATTATAAGCACCCACCTTTATTTATAGTTTAATTAGGACGTAATAATTGCTATTATTTTATTTATCTTAATTTCCATAATAATAAAAACCAATAACAATTTTATTATTTTATATTAAACCTCACGCGGACCCCCTGACGCTGTTCAGGGACCCCTAAATCAGTTTTTGTTTTTCACGGATCCCCTGAATGGTACCACGGACCCCTAGGGGTCCATATGAACCACTTTGGGAAACACTGCTTTAAATAAACGTACGAACGAATTTTGTTTGTCGAATTTCCCACTGGACGTATTTTTTCCACAGAATGTAACGTTGAAATGATACGTACCTTCAACGACAACTTCAAGATCATCGGGATGTGAAAAATACATAGGATTAATATTAGGTGGATCGTATGGATTGTTGGATCGAAGCGTCACTTTTCCTGTTCCTTTGGGGTGAACAATTTGAGAGAGGCACAAATAGAAAGGTTTGTTTTCATATGGTCCAAAATAAGACTTGAAATACTGTAAAAAGGAATAAAAGAGGTGTAATAACTAGTTTATTGATTTAGTTGCTTTGTCAAAAATGAACAGAAATGAAAGAGATGCACATTAGGTGTTAAAATTTATGTTTAGGTTGAGGAAAAACAGAAACAGCGATCGAAATCTAATGTAAAACAACTAAGAAATGTAGAACTGAAGTTACTCGTAGGAAAAATATTCTCTTGCTATTACAGAAATTGCTACTGATGTAAATGTTAACCGTAACAATAATAATTGTTACAAAATCATATTATTTTATTTAAAGAAAATTACCTGTTCTTAAACGATGACTACTAAGAATCACTACTGAGGCGGTATAGAAGCTACCGGTCATATTTTTTTCAATATTAATATTTTTCATATATAATAATTAATATTTTTTTGTTGGAACGATGCAAACGTTTTGCGTAACCCCGATTAATATCAAGAAATCAGTATATTATCGTTATTTATTACTTTAAGAAAATGATAGTTCTCAAATTATGACTATTGAGGGAGGGGGAGCGGGTGCTGCCACTTGGAAAAATATTTAAATGTTGCAACGGAAATTACTACGGATGCAAATGTTTTGCGTAACTACGATTAATGTTAAGAAATTAAGTTAGTACCGCTATTTATTACTTTGAAACAATGACCTACTCTCAAAATGATGTTGTTGGAAGGGGAGTTGGAATTGATACTATCACTATGAAAAATATTTACTTGTTGCGACAAAAATTACTACGGATGGGCGCAGAGTGGTAGGTAACAGAAACAACTATCCACTTGTTACAAATATGCATTCACTCGATTTTTTTCTAACCATACTTGTGTGGAAACCATTTCATAAATCGACCTCTTTTTGCGACTGGGTATTAATGGCTGTCATTTCTTTGAAGTTTACCAAAAGATTTTGATTTATATTTGAAGTGATTGCAAAACTTTTGTTTTACTATTTCAGTTTTAGAATTCTTAAATTTTATTTAGAATTACTTTAATCGAACATATGAATAAATTAAAGCATGATATTCGATTTATTTAACCGATACAACGTAACGAACAAATCTAGTCCGATCTCATAATCTACTGCAGCCCAATCTCTCAATCTCGAACCAGCATCACAAGCGCACTTTCACCAAACTTGATACGACCTGAACAAATTTTTTTAAATGGTAGCAAAAAAAATATTAGGGAACATATATATGTTTTAATTTATTCATATCTACAAAAAAGTTTGAGAAACCACTGAGTAACTTAAGTTACCACTCGTTGATTTTTTTTTTCAGGTCAGAACTTGATTTTTTGGTAGAGGGAGAACTCTTTTCTGAAAAAAAAGGGTGCAACGCTGAATCAGTTAAGGTCAGGCGAAATAAAAAAATATTTCTACCAACAAATGATTTTTCAATTACCACTTCTTCTTCACTACCACTTGAGAAAACCATAGTTGGAGAGCAAAAGTTGGCGTCATTTGGGTTAAAACTTACATCAGGCTTCAATCTCATCTGAGATTGTATAGGTGCCATAGCTCCTTCCCAAAAATACAACTGATGATCAGGGTAGTCGCCTGGTGAATCGTGTCCTTTTCTGTCCAGAAAAGCTATAACTGAAACACCTTGCACCGATGTTAACGGACCTGCAAATATGCACATTCATTTCAGAAATTTTTTACTGTTTACATAAGCGAAATATTGCTTCCAGACATTTACAGGAAAACATCATTATAAAACCAAACTTAAATATAATTTGGAGAGAAAATTTCATATTAATATTTTTCCTTAACTACACGCAAAAACTAAATGGCAAACTGGAAAGAAAAAAAATGAAGCGCACTGATTTTTTCAAAGAATTTCAAAAATTCACTGTGACAGTAAAGATCTTATTTTTAATTTGGAATCTAATTTTCGTCAAAAACCCTTGTGGGAACTTTACTACTGACTGGTAATCACGAGGTGAACTTTAAGTGAGGTGAGAGCCATTCTCGTGATTGTTAGAGAGTAACAGTTTTTTTCGTTTTCTCGAAAAACTAGTAGGCCAATGATAATTTTCTGATACTTTCTTATAAGTCTCAAAATGTCTTAATGTCTTTCTTAAAGTCTCAAATGTTTTCCGTTGGACAGCTTACCTGTTTTTGATGTAATGTAGTCATTAATGTTTGCTACACTTTCTAGTTTCTTTTGTAGAGGAGTAAAAGTGCTATTCAACTCAAAACCAATTACTGTACCCCAATGATCTTGTAAATTCTTTCCCACTGGTAGATTAGCGTGGAGTCGAATCTATAAGAAATTACCAATACTTAACAATCATAAATGTTAAAAATAAACTGGTTTTTGCCAAAGAGTGACATTTTCGGTACTTTTATGATCATTAAAACATTCCAAAATATGACAAAATATTCTTACTTCTATTTAATCTGATCTTATAACTCAATCTTGAACATTACAAAATATTTCGCATCATGTCGTCATGTTCAACAATAATGTTTTTCCCCCCTCTTCTCCGAGATACAAACAACCCTAATTTTCTTTTGCTGCGAAGCAACTACTATACGATTTAGAAACTTGAAAATATACAGAGAGCATGATGGAATAAAAAAATTTAACACTCGATTATGAATTATAATTAATTTTCGAGAACAATAGACTACTGAACTTGTAATAAAAATTATCAGAAATATCAATCTGCATCACAGAAAAATGCTAATACAGAATCAAAATTCGACGTGCTATTCGTGAATTTTATAACGATTTTTTTTTCGAAATTCGATTTTTTTTCTAAATTGTTACAGTTTTAAGTTTTTTTGGGGGGGGAAATTTTCTCACTTTTGTCTTTGAACAATGTATGTTACATCTATCTTGAATTTTCTCGGCATGACTTTTTAAAATTGAAGTGGAAAGGAAACACGTTAAATTATAATTCATATTTTTGTCATCTGCATGTCGTTGCCCTTTGAACTATATATTCACTTACTTTGTGTTTCTTTAATTCTTCCTGAGGGCCGATCCCTGAAAGCATCAGAAGTTGAGCAGAATTAATTGTACCAGCAGAAAGTATCACTTCCTTAAACGCTCTCACATGTCGACTTTTTCCTTGGAAATCAAACTCAACTGCTCGAGCTTTGCTATTCTCAATAATTATCTAGAGATTGAAAAATAAAGATTTATTGCCTTTTTATGGATGCTTAAATGAAATTAGAATTTTGAAAATATATCTACCATAACGGCATCTAGTTTTGCCATAATTTGTGTGGAATTTAATATTTTGAAGGAAAAAGTAACATTTGAAGGAAGAAAAATAAAATTAGTTTTTAAAGGAGAAAATAGTTTCTTCTTGATTTATCTGAACTCATTTTTCTTCTGTGCTTAAAATTTTAACTTACTGATCCAGTTGAAAGAGAATTTGTCTTACATTTGATATTAAGAAACATTTACATTTAACTCCTTATTTGATAATTAGAAATTAAATTTTAGTTAGTAAATTTTTAACTATCGCAACCCAGGAAGATTGCTGTGCAATCCTATAGGGTTTATTCGCTACTCAGTTAAACCCATTTAAAATGTGTTCTAGCATAAAAATTTAAATCAAGTGTTAAAATCCTTAAAACTAATATTCCTCTTTAAAATTTAAATAATAGAAAGTTTTAAATTGAGTTAAATGACATCCCTCATTAAGTATACTTCCCAAAAGAATTTTCTTCTTTTTCCCAGAAGAGAGTTGCAGAAAAACTATATATTTCGGATGTCAACAATTAAATCATTCATTTTTACATCAACGCTTCTCTTCGAGCATGCTTTCTTTTTATTATGCTTAAAAAGTGCGACTGCATAAGTATAATTAAAATTTTATTTCGAAAACTTTGTTTATTAATATAAACTATTCGCTTTTAACTATTCAATTCTTTCTAAATTTTAGCTCAGATTGTTTCAGCTTTTCGTTGTCCACTCGAAAAAAAAATTGTCTTTCCGAAATTCGCAGTCGCCATTAATATATATACAGGGTGTTTATAAAGTACCGGACCCATTTTGATGTTTAATAACTCATAAAATAATAAAGATAGATTAAAATTAATAACATAAATGGTTAAATAGACTCAAAAAGTTTCATGACCCTTGTCAATGAACTTCCACGTGTGCCCCCTTAGTCGCACGGAGAATATCAAGTCGATAGTCAATTTCACGCCAGGTAGCGGCAAGCATGTCGGCGTTTCTATGAACCACCGCAAAATCTGTGCTTTCTCTTGTGGTGTATACGTTCTCCTTAATATCCGCTTGAATAAAACATCACATAGAAAAGTACTGCATAGAACAAACACATCAAAAGTAAACATAACATTACAATAGTTGCCAAAAACAAAGGGCAAGGCTGACTCAGCCTTTCATCCCTTCAGTGGGTCGATAAATGAGTACCAAGCATGCTTGGGAACTAAACACGGGGGGTTCCGCTTTCGGCTGACCACCTGACCGGAACATCTGCTCCTGCACCCCAGAGCCCAAGGTCAAGAAAACTGAAATGGGCACAGTAGGCCTTGGCCCTCAAAGGCTGTCTCGCCGCTGAGTTTAGTTTTAGTTTATATATATATATATACACTGAAGAGCCAAAAAAAACTGGTATACCTGCCTAATATCGTGTAGGGTACCCGCGAGCACGCAGAAGTGCCGCAACACGACGTGGCATGCATTCGATCAATGTGTGAAGTAGAGCTGGAGATAATTGACATCATGAATCCTGCAGGGCTGTCCATAAGTGGAAGTAAGAGGGGGCGGAGATATCTTCTGAACATCACGTTGCAAGGCATCCCAAATATGTTCAGTAATGCTCATGTCTGGGAGTGGATCCAAGAGCACTCTCCTGAATTTAGACACTTCCGCTGGCCACCAAAATCTCCAGACATGAGCATTACTGAACATATTTGGGATGCCTTGCAACGTGATGCACAGAAGATATCCCCACCCCCTCTTACTCCCACTGGTTTATGGACAGCCCTGCAGGATTCATGGTGTCAATTATCTTCAGCACTACTTCACACATTGATCGAATCCATGCCACGTCGTGTTGCGGCAC